ATGGAATTTGTATGAAACAGTGAACCATGCGTTTTGTGTGTCACTAAACCAAAGTTTTATGAAACAATATTAATACCTGGTTTACATAGTGGCCACTGAGAGTCTTCCTTCTGATCAGTCTAGACTGTAGTTTTTAAAAAAAGCAAGTAGGACACACTAAATGGACTTCAAAGCTCAAAAATAGGTTGTCGTCCTTGAAAATTGCTAGCTTTTATCAAACTGTCCTGAAAAGTAATTGTGCTAATGTAAAACTTGTCTTCGGTGTATGAAAATTCCTGCTTCGTGACAATCTATTGATACTTTGAATTGTCAGATTTTAAAGACTTTTTTCAAATTTTGTAGATGCAAACTAGTAGCTTTTACTAATTTTAATTTTTATTTTTGTGGGATTTATTTATTTGGGGTACTGGGAACTGAATCTAGGGCTTCACACATATGAGGTGTCTTAGTTTGTTTCTTCATTGCTGTGACAAAATACTCTGACCAATACCAACTTGGTGGAGGAAAGGGTTTATTCAGCTTGCATCTCCCAGGTCACAGTTCATCAGGGAGCCCAAGGCAGGAACTCAGGGCAGGAACCTGGAAGTAGGAGCTGGAGCACAGGCCATGGAGGATCACTGCTTACTGACTTGCTCCCCTGGCCCCTTGCTCAGCCTGCTTTCTTATACAACACAGGCCCACCTGCCCAGGGGTGGCACCACCTACAGTGGGCTGGGCCCATCACTCAGCAATCAAGAAGGTGCCCCATGGACATGGCCACAGGCCAGTCCAATGAAGACAATTCCCCCACTGAGGCTCCCTCAACCCAGGTGTGTCAAGTTGACACTAAAGTTATCCAGCACACGAGGAAAGTGCTCTACCACTGAGTTATATTCCCAGTCCTCTGTGCATTTTAAAAACTATATCTATTTTTATTTTATATGTATGAGCATTATGCTTACATGTGTTTAAGTGCACCCATGTCATGCAACGCTGGCGGAGAACAGAAGAAGGTGTTGGATCCCATAGACTGGTTGTTAGCTGCCATGTGGGAACTGGGATTTGAATCAGGTCTTCTCTAAGAACAGCCAGTGTTCTTAACTGCTGAGCTATCTCTCCAGCCATGGGAAGTTAGAATTAAGAAGTCAGGGAAACAGATGTTTCTAGAAAAAATCCGCATGTCATCCCTTTGGGTCTTCCTTCACTTCTATTTTTCCTGTTTTCTTTCTTTGTCTCTCTGTGTGTGTGTGTGTGTGTGTGTGTGTGTGTTCATGAATATACTGGCAGGTATGAGCAGTCTGATGTGGGTGCTGGGACCTGAACTTGGGTCCTCTGGAAGAGCAGCAAGCAGTTTTAACCAATGAGCCATTTCTCCAGCACCCCACCCCCTCTTCTGTGCATTTTAAATGAATCAGAGTTGAGAATCTCTTCATATAGTGCCATTGGTTTTATTTCCTGTTTTGTGAATTGCCTATTTCTATGTTTTATCTGTTTCACTAACAAGTTGTCTCTTTCCTACTGATTTATTTATAAGCCTTTATTATTTGGATATTGGGCCTATGTTAATTATACAGTAAATATCTTCTTCCAATCTGAAGATAGGGTTTCATTATCTAGCCCAGATTGGTCTTAAATTCGTGGCAATCGTTCTGCCTCAGCCTTCCAAGTGCTGGGATCCCAGGTGTGAGCTACCACATCTAGCTCAAGCTTTTAAAAACTATCCTATGTACGTAGAACGGTAGTGTAAAGTGTAACAACCTTTCACATTAAGGCTTATTAAGGCTTTTGTATATTTAAGAAAATCCTTTCTATTGCTGTGGTCATAAAGAGTCTTTGATAGTTTGTTCTAGAACCTTTTTTTTTTTAACTTTTATTTTAGGTATATGAGTGTGTTACCTGCATGCGTGTAAGTGCACCCGTGTCGTGCAAAGTCCACAGAGGGCGGCGTCAGAACCCTTGGAACTGGAGTTATAGACAGTTGTTAGCTACCTGTGAGTGCGGGAAATCGAACCCCAGTCCTCTGCAAGAGCTGCCAATGCTCTTAACCCCTGAGCCATCTCTCCAGCCCCTGTTCTAGAACCTTTAAACCTGTTTTATGTATTAAGCTTTTCAACCACTCAGATTCAGCTTTCATCAAAGTCCCACATCTAAGAGCCACCCTCCTCCTAAGTTTTCTCCCCCTCCCCGTCTTCTTCCCAGACCGGGTAATAGTGAAGTTACTGGCTCACCTAGTCCTGGGCAGGGGACTGGGTGCAGGAATCCCGCCAGGGCTGCAGGCCCCAAGGCCATTCGTGCTCCTGCCAGCAGGCGGCGCTGCAACAGGAGCCGGCCGAGCGCGCTGGACGCTCTGGCTAGTGGTCTCGCCTCCTCCGCGGCTTCCGGCGCGTCTCCCGCGCTTATGCCATGGACCGTAACCCATCGCCCCCGCCGGCCGACCGGGACCAGGAGGAGGAGCAGGACCCGGCCGGGGGAGACTGCGTGGGGCGCACGGTGTACAGCAAGCACTGGCTGTTCGGCGTCCTCAGCGGGCTCATCCAGGTATTGGGATGCGCGCATGCGCGGGGGCTCCCTCACGCCGCCCGGGGACTCGATGGCTGCGGGGATGCTGCAGCCTTGCGGGGACACCGTCCACTTTTGTTTGAAAATATTATTTTTATATTGTGTGTAGGAATGTACTGCCTACATGTGTGTAAGTGCACCCGTGGCGTCTAATGTCTACGGAGAAAAGGGCGTCAGATTCCCTGGAACTGGTGTTAAGGATGGTTGTTGGTCGCCTTGTGGGTGCTGGGACTCGAACCTCTACAAGAACAGCCAGTGTTCTTAACCCGAGCCATCTCTCCAGTTCACTTTTGTGGCTCTTCCCAAAACTCAGACCTACGCACATACTCTGTCCGGGTTTTGCTCCCCAACGCCTGTCATTCTGAAGCCCAGGCCCTAACTTCATGCTTGGTGGACTTTTGTTAAAGTGGAAACAGTGACTTGGGTCAGCTCTGTTATTCCAGCAGCGGGACTCGGGCAAGCATTAACCAGAGCCTCGGTTTCTCTCACGGTTTCTGTAGACCAGGATAGTGAAACCAGTATTACCATATGTGGAGGTTTTGTGTAGGTTGAGGTTATAATAACCGGGGAGTGCTTCGGTTTCTAGGGGGCCGTCAGTATATGTGAGTTTTCTGCTCATCGTCTTCCCGACCTCCCAGCTTTTACCTCTCCAGGCCATTTCTGCACAGTGACCAGAGTACTCTTCCTTTTTGTTATTTTTAAAGGGTGCACTCGTTGCTCATAAGACAAATTGTGTATTTCTTAGCTGGAAATTGAAGTCTCTTTTAAGAGACGTCTCCTTGGCTTTTCCCAGGAACAGGTCATTGGTCCTTCATTTTCCCTGTCACAGGTCTTTGCCAACAGTTCAGTCAGCCTTTTCTATTGTGACTGTCGGTTTACATGCCTTCCCTCCACTAATCCTCAACTGTTTGAAAACAAAGGTTGTATTTTGGTCAGTCCTGCAGTTTTGCGCTGTATTGCCTGCAAACAGAGTTCACTCCATGAGTGTTGGATGTGTAGAGCCTTCCAAGGCACCAATTTTTAGAAGATACTTTGCCACGGTCGATACTTTGGAGATACTCACTTTGAGACTTCTAAATGACAGTGTTTCTTGAAGAAGAATGAACAGTTTCACTTACCTACTTTTTTCCCTCTGTGTTTCTGAAGACCGTTACATCTGAAAATGCCAAGTCCGGCTCAGACGACAAGGAGTCACAGATGGAGCTTGATGAAGAAATGGAGAATGACATCTGCAGAGTCTGGGATATGTCGATGGATGAGGTACGGGGTGTGGAAGTGAGACTGCAGAGACTCAAGGAGGATCTTTGGAAAGGTTTATTCCTTTGCCCCTGAGGAAGGCTCATGTAGCATCTGTAGTCACTCCAGCTTGTGGTTCAGGGGAACAGGTACCAGGAGCTGTGAATGCTGAAGTGTTGCCTTTGAATATTACACAGTTTTATCCTATGAACATAATAGCGTGTCCTTAACAAACATAAACCAAGACCGGTATAGTTTTACCAGGCAGTGCAGTTTCATGGGACCACTGTTATGTATAATCTGTGATTGACTGAGACTGCATTACGTGCATGGATTTTACAGTGCACATCCTTCATGGCTGCCAGATTTAGTTTTTGTACCTCACGGGTGAGATTTGGCTCTTTTGGGTCACATGTACAGTCTAGATTCACCCCTTGGGTAATATGGATAGAGTGGAATCTTTAGGAAGAAATTATTGGGCTGTCAAAGTTATATTGTGATGAGAAGTTTTTTTCTATTGAAGATTTTAACCTCGTTTTCCCTTTTTCTATTGAGGATTTTGAAAACACACATTTTAGTATTGGACATAATCCAGTAGCCTAGATCTCTGGTTTCCCTTCTCATGTTTTAAGTTCTTAGAGGATAAGAATTAGGGGTTGACGTCTTCTCCCCATGTTCCCCTCCCCCTTCTCCTGAGCCGCTAGCATAATATCTGGCAGTTAACAAATGTGCTTGAATGCTAGTGAGAATTCCTGGTGGACAGAAAAAAGACATTTAGGTTAACGTAGTCAGTGCAGAATAAAAGGAGGCTGCTCTGGGGTCGGTCACAGGCGCAGATTTGCTTCTGGAATTGTTCCATGGTCTTGGGACCAAATGCCACAATGACTCTAAAATTACTTTTGCCTTTTTGACACCTTCCTGACCTTTTTTTTTAGCCCCTGTGCCTGAAAGGAGATATAATGGAATTAAACTTTTTATGATTGTCTTAGCTTTGGAGTTTAATGAGCCATATTCAGCATCTAAATTAGTAATAATTTTTTTTGTTTGTAGGATGTGGCTTTATTTCTCCAAGAATTTAATGCTCCTGACATATTTATGGGCATACTGGTCAAATCCAAGTGCCCCCGATTAAGAGTAAGTATGTACATTTCATTTTTCTCTCTTTGATTTCCTTACTGGCTACAAGTCAATAAATTGATATGTAAATGTTTGTTGAACATTATTAGGTAATACATTACTTAAAATTATTAGATGCATAGAATTTTAGATTTGGATTAGAGAGTACAATTTTTAAAAATTTATTATGTTTTATTCTGTGTGTATGAGTGTATTGCCTGCACCCGTGTCATGCAATGCCTGAGCAGGGTGTTGGATCCCCTGGAACTGGGGTTATGGATGGTTGTTAGCTACCATGTGGGTGCTGGAGATCGAACCAGGCTTCTCTGCAATTGCAGCCAGTACACTTAACCTCTGAGCCATCTCTCCAGCCTAGGCAGTGTTTGAAGTTTTCCTGGTGATTCTGATGAGCAGCCAAGACTGAAGTGCTTGGTCTTTGACAGGAAGTTCGCTCATTCCCCCTTTAGTCTACAAGGGAAACGGTTGTGTTTTCTGCTCCTTCTTGTTTAATCCTTTCCCGGCATTTGACCATCTGCATTTTATTCAAGTGCTCCACCTGTTGCTTCTTGGCCATCACCCCACCCCCACCTCCTGGTTCAGCCTCCAAAGTGCTGGGGTTCTAGGTGTGTGCACCACAGCCAGCTTAGGTCTGTTGTTTTTTTATACTCCTAAGTTACAGCTATGTACCTATAATGCAAAGCCCTGACTTCCCCTTTGGTGACTGATGCCATGTCCAGCCTTCTTCAGGCATTCACAACTTCCGAGAGAGCTCTATCTTCTGTGTGTCCTGATTCAGTAAGTGTCACACTGATCGTAGAAACCCCTAGTGCACTTGGTAAGCGGTAGCTCTCCAGGTGTCACCCCAGAGATTCTGATTCAGGAACTGATGTGACTTGGAAATCTGTTTTGTTAGGAAGCCCCAGTGCTGTGTTCCAGAAGGTTTGAACACGGCACCATATGAACTCGCTGTGTCCTTTTTCATTTTTCCCATTAATAGGACCAGCACCTCTCACTGGGGAAACAGGAAACTTGAAACCCAGGAGCCATGTCTTGCTTACCCTTCACCTTCTGGCATCTTCTTTGCCTTCACTGTGAGCGAGCTCTCTTCGGCTCCAGGGTTTTCCGTGGCTGCCCCACCCTTTCCTATCTAGCAGCCCTGCCCTCTTGCATCTTGGTTACTGAGGCGCCAAGAAGTAGTGGTTAAATGTTCAGTCTCTGCTGTTTCCTAGTTGGGAATCTTAGGCTTGCTTGACTTCCCTGTGCTTTAGTTTCCTCATTTGAAAAGTAGGGACAGGGACAGGAGAGATGGTTCAGAAGTTCAGAACACTTGCTCTTTAGAGGACTGAGATTCAGTTTCTAGCACCTACGTGGTGGTCTATAGTCATCTGTAACTCTAGTTCCAGAGGACCCAACACCCTCTTCTGGCTTCTACTGGCACTAGGTACACACGTGGTATACATACATACAGGCAAACACATGACACACACACACATATAAAATCTTTAAAAAGTGAAATAATAGTAGTCCCATCTCATAAGGTGCTATATGAAATGATAAATGGAAAACATTTAGAGTTGTTTATTGATTATATGTGTAGGTAAGTATTGAGTGTTGTTATAATTGAGGTAAATTCTTCTTTCAAACTTTTTTTTACTTTATGCATTGCATATTTTACTGCCAAGATAACCCTCCTAAATTGTTTCAGCATGTTGTGTCCCCTTTTTGAGAACCTTCACAGCTCCACATACCTTCCCATGTTTAGTCTTCAGCGTGATGGTCGGACCCTTTTCATGCTGATCCTTTTCCTCTGCTGGTTCACCTCGTGCTGGTCTCCTGTTTTATGCTCTAGCCAGTGTTTTCTTTGTGTATTAGCTGTACATGTTAGTCCCTGAGGAGTCATTTCCTCCCTGATCTCGTTATCTGTAACTCCTGCCCTTGAACTTTGTGTCTTTTGTTCCTTCTCAGCTATCAACGTTGTCAGAGTTAGAGGACAGGACAGGAGAGGCAGTATAGGCAGCACAGGTCCCTGTCCTGTCTTCCCTTCTCCCCTCAAACTTGGCTCAGTGAAAGTTTTTTCAAGTTGTTATTCTGTGTGGCTTTCTCCTCAGAGCCATTGTGACCTGTGAAATTTGATTTGGCAGGAAATCTGTATGGGAATTCTAGGTAACATGGCCTGTTTCCAGGAGATCTGTGTGTCCATCAGCAGTGATAAAAATCTTGGGTAAGTCTTACTGCATAATAACATTTCTCAAAATGGATTCTAACCTCCTATCTGAGGAAGTCCTAATACGTAGGGAAGATGGAAAATGTGAAGTTGGTGTTTCATTGTTTTGAACACTTCGGGAAGTACACTGAGTGCTGATGACAACTGGGGTGTCCGCACTATGTATGGACATAAATAAGTCAGGATTGAGCCTGTGTATCAGCAGCAGAGACCTGAGTCATCAAGAGGGAGTAAGCAGGCCAGGTGAAGAGTATGTAGGGCTGGAGGTGGGGGCAGCTGACCAGAATCCCAAGCAAGTTAGGACTCAGAGCTAGTCTGGGAAGCGAGATTTGTTGAACAGTTGCTCTGAGAGCTTCAAGTTGTTGAACAGTTGCTCTGAGAGCTTCAAGTTACATCAGGGAGTGGGACATGCCAAAAGACTAGAGGATACAGGCTTGATCTGGGACTACAAGGCTTTCAGACTTCCACCTGGAGGCTGGATCTCCTTTACATGCACAGAAGTTTTGGGTAGAGGGCCCTTTAATAGTGAAGGTCCTGGTGGCTACTTAGTGGATCTGAGGACACTGGAAAGTTAGGTGATAAATTTGGTGGGTGTGTTCATTTTCTTGGTAGAAGGTTCATGGCTGTTAATCAGAGTCTCAAGGAAGTCTGTGCCTTAGATAGGTTAAGGCATCTGCTCTAGGCAGTTCTTATCTGAGCTCAGGGGGGTTTATCACAGAATTCAAGTATCCGAGCCTATCAAAAAAAGTTGTTCTTACATTTATTCAGTGGGATGCTCTGCAGCGATGAACTGCAGGTGAATCTGATATATACGGTGGTGAGCAAAAAGCCTGAGACTCGAAGAGTATGTACACAACATTGATCTAAACTTCTACGGTACCTACTGTGTGTACAGTGATTATGTGTCACCTAAAAACAAATAAAAAGATGGATAGATAACAGAAAGGTATTTTAAGGAAAAAAAATATATTTTTAAATAAAATTTAGAAACAAAATATGAAACCATGAAACGAGGGCCGAAAAGGACACGATGCTGGATGCGTTAGGGTGACCTTTTCTCAGTGGGGAAAGCCTTGTGATTGGAGTGGGACGCAGGCTGCTAGGTGAGCAGCTCTTGAAGTTTTGCTTCATAATTGTTCACAAATCACAGATTTGCTTCTTGGCGGGTTTTCTGCATTTATGCTTTATTTAACAATAAAAAATGTTGAAAAAGTTAAATGCAGAGGCTAGAGAGATGGCTGAGTGGTTAAGAGCACTGGCTGCTTTTGCAGAGGACCCGGGTTTGGTTCCCAGCACCCACTTGGTGGCTAACAGCCATCTGTAACTCCAGTTCCAGGGGATCTGATGGCCCCTTGTCTTCCTTGGTCATTGCTTGACACAGGTGCACTTACATGCAGGCAATACACCCATACACATAAAACTTTTTTTTAAAAAGTTAAATGCGAGCTGGTATTTGAGATGAGAGAAGCTCACGGCTCACTGTTTTGCAGGCAGGTGATACTGCATTGTGTGTACGACTCAGACCCACCCACTCTCCTGGAAACAAGCAGGTAGGCTTTCCTCTGTGTGGCATCTGTAAAATCACTTATCAGGGAACCCAGGAAGATAGAGTCAGCGCTTACCAGCTCCCTGTACTGTTTTCCCGACTTGATATTAAGCTGACATTTATCATGTAGGTTGTTGCTCACTTGCCTTTCCCAGACAGAAGTGGCCAGTGTCTGGGTTGAAAGGATCCGGGAGCAACCAGCTGTTCATGATAGTATTTGCTTCATCATGTCAAGTTCAACAAATGGTAAGTTACCTTGTAATCTAGAGAGACAAATGTGTAGTATTGTTAGGGAAGCACTTTCCCATGAAGGAAGGCGGGGTGTAACCGCAACACCTTTGGAATAAGTGCAGCCGTGTTTGTTGGACGACTGTGGGGACTTTGCTTCCCCTCAGCACCAAGCTTGGCTTCTCAGGTTAATCTCTGTTCTCTGCAGTTGACTTGCTGGTGAAGGTGGGGGAGGTTGTGGACAAGCTCTTTGACTTGGATGAGAAGCTAATGTTGGAGTGGATTAGAAATGGGGCTGCTCGCCCTCTGGACCAGCCTCAGGAAGACTGTGACGAGCAGCCAGTGTTCAGGATTGTACCCTGTGTACTGGAAGCTGCCAAGCAAGTACGGTAGGTGAACTGCTTTATACAGAACGTTCTGGACAAATCCAAACGCTGAAAACACCCTTAGATGGAAAAGTCTGTCCTTTGGGAGGATGGAGTTTGCAGCTGGTCGTTCTTAGGTTTAATTCACTTCTTATACTTGTGGCAGAAGATTTACTCTTTTCAAGAACTGTAAGAATGTCATTCAGTCACAGTAAGTGCTCAGCTTGCTGTGGTTACTGACAACTTCATCAGCCATCTCACATATCTGAAATAATCAAAGGGAAAAGATTTCCTTGTGTTTTATTTTGCACTGAACATAAAGCAACTCCCTAACTGAACATGTCTATTTTCTTCATCCTTTCCCCTGTGTACATGCACCAGTCTGGATAAGTGATCGACTCGGGCACTTTAACGTCCTGGCATGAGAGACAGTCGATCTTGTAGGGCATTGAGAGAATTTATTATTGGTCACCAGAAACTTAGCAGTGGAATCAGTCTGCTTAGTAGCTAATAGTATATTCTTAGTACTTAATACGCTGCATTAAAAACTTTATGTCCTTTATGAAATGAGAATTAAGATTTTCATCTCCCACACCTGATCTTCAGTACCTTCCAGTCAGTGAATGATGCCGCCAGCTTGTGCTTCAGGTGTCCTGTTGCCGTCTGTAGGATACAATTCAGATTTAGAAACAAGGCAGACCTGGCTCACCAGGCATCATGGAAGCTTTTCCAGCCTGTCTTAGCTGAGCCAAGCTCCCTAGTCTCCGAGCCTTTGCTCAGGAAGTCTCTCTCCTTTGCCCCAAATGCTCCTTTGCCCCTTCAGATGCCTGTGTAAACTCACTTCTCTGAAGACACCTTCCTGGTGAAGTCTGAGTGCTCTGTGGTCTTAGCACATTTCACTGTATTATAACTGCCCCTTTATTTTCTTTCCTTCAGACTGTTAAGCTTTATGGAGATAGACATCAAATGTCATGTGTACCTCTGTCTTCCATCCCCTACTAAGTACCTACACACAGTCGATGCTTAAGTAAGCACTGCTGACCCATTGTTTCAGTTGCTCACTGTTTGCATGTAGCCATCTGGTTGAAGAACCAGCATTCTGAGTTTCTAAGACTATAAACTGTTGATCAAAAGGATGGCCTGTGACATCAGGTGAGCAGCAATACTGTGTGTGCCTGGTGCTGGGGGCCTCACGCTCCTCCCATAAGGTCTCGGTGTCAGCCACAGGCACTTTCATTTCTTGTCCTGTGTGTAATTATGTTCTTTCTCTCTCTCTCTTTCTCTCTCTCTCTTTCTCTCCCTCACACACACACACACACACACACACACCCCTATATATGTATACACGCATGTAAATCTACACATACATATATATATATATTTCTGTTTCCCCATTATAATGTAACTTTTCACGAACAGAAATGTTATTTTGTTGTCTGTTTCATGGTTGGTACCTTTGGAAAATGACTAGCACAAACTAATAAATACATTTCTTGAGTGAATAATTGACTGCATGCAACCTCTACACCCAAGGCTCAGGGAACATCACGGAAGAGGGGGTGAAGAGAGTAAGGGCCAGAGGAGGGGCAAAACTGCTGCTAGCTAATGTCTTCTAGACATGACAGGGAGGCTGCACCAGTGAGGTCTCCACAGGATGGTAGTCTAATAAGAGCTGCACAATGACAGAACCATTTGACTTGCCAAAGTGCATGGGGGAAATTTTGTGGGGTCCCACCGCAAGATGGAGAGGTTCAGGGGATGTTGAGGGGGGAAGAATCAGTTTTCTCCAAGAACTAGCTCTCTGAGAGGTAATCTGATCCCAAGTAGGCAGCCCTAAACATAAATGGACTAAATGCATGGTACAACAAGAGTCTGTATGTATATATACACACACGTATGTATGTATACATATATATGTATATATATAGTGTGTGTGAACACATAACACTAATAAGAGGACAAATAATTGAGAGGGATTGAGGAGACATGGGAGGAGGTGGCGGGAGACTGGGATGGCTGGAAATAATACAAATATAATACTCATGAAATTCTCAAAAATAAAAAATGAAAAGGCCCAACGAACTCTTGAAAAAATAATACCAATAAGCCGGGTGTGGTGGCACACGCCTTTAATCTCAGCACTTGGGAGGCAGAGGCAAGTGGATCTCTGTGAGTTCAAGGCCAGCCTGGTCTACAAAGCGAGTTTCAGGCCAGCTGGCACTATAGAGAGACCCTGTCTCAAAAAGACCAAAAAAATAATCGTAGTAATAGTAATTGATTGCAGTTCTCTAGACTGTGAAGTTGGTGATGAAGTGCTTTTGCCTTTTCTGTTCAGTTCCGAAAACCCGGAAGGGCTGGATGTCTACATGCACATCTTACAGCTGCTGACCACTGTGGATGATGGAATTCAAGCAATTGGTAAGGTAGTTTCTTGGAACCCACTGTAGTCATTCACCTAATTGCTTGCTGTTTTTAAATTGCTACTTTGTTAAAATGCTTCTTAAGTACAGTGTCCTGATACGAGAAAAGACACGTGGAATTTACTCTTTGACATGGTGTGCCATGAATTCTGCCAAGCAGACGACCCACCCATCATGCTGCAGGAGCAGAAGACGGTGCTGGCCTCTGTGCTCTCAGTGCTGTCAGCCATCTGCTCCTCACAGGCAGAGCAGGAGCACCCGAAGATGGAAACAGGCAAGTATCACATCTGTTCACCAAGGTAAATTGGAGTCTGCCAGATTTTAAATGCCAGTCGTGTGTGTTTTCTTCACTGGGTTCATCCTCAATTTTACCCATTAAGAAGAAAAAAAAAATACACACACACACACACACACACACACACACACACCATTTATTCTCCTAGTTGTGTAAAATGAAAATTGATTATAAAATTTATAAATGGCATCAGGAGGGGCTGGGGTATAGCTCAGTGACGGAGGGCATGCTTAGCATATATGAGGCCCTGATTTCAATCTCGGCTCCCAAACCCAAAAAACCAACCCTCCTGCCCCAAACCAGGCATCAGCCTGTGTCTGTAAACACTCCGTCCAAGTTCTGCGCTGCTTTTACCTCTGCTGCCCTATCAGTTCCCTCTGTGTTCGGTAGGGAGGTTTTATGTCTTGGTACCTGGTAAGATCTTCTCTCTTCAGTCTGATTGTCAGAATGTTTTTTCTGTTAGGCTTGTTTAGTGCTGAGTAGGTTGAAAAGTTCAAAGCCCCGAACTCTTTGTGATATTTTAATTGGATCATGTTAAGTGTATAGGGCATCCCAGGATGTGCTGTGGCTATGCCTTTGTGCGAGTCTTACTTCAGAAGTGGTTTTCTTCCCTTGAATCTTGCTATTTCTTAGCAGGTTTACTCCTAGATGTATAGTTCTCTTGCGGCTGCTGTTCTCTGTTAGTTGCTTTCTTCCATTGATGATTGTTGGGATTTATGAAGGCTGTTCATTTCTGTATGTTAATTTTTTTTTGGTCTTTTTGAGACAGGGTCTCCCTGTAGCCCCAGCTGGCCTGGAACTCACTATGTAGACCAGGCTGGCCTTGAAGTCACAGAGATACGCCTGCCTCTGCCTCCCAGGTGCTGGGATTAAAGGCATACACCACCACGTTTTTTTAACATGCAAACAAACTTCATTGAAAGGTGAAGATTCACACACACACACACACACACACACACACACACACACACTCACACCCTCACTGGTTTTCCCGTTTTTTGTTTTGTGTTTGTCATGCCGGGGATTGGGCCCCGAGCCTCGACATGCAGGCATGCACTCTGCCACTGAGCTGCGTCCATTCCTGTCTTGCTGTAAGACTTCCCATTCTAATCTTGAACTATTCTGACACTGCTTTGACTTTAAGTTACCGTGCTTTGTCATTTTTCGCTCCAATTTCTTCCTCTTATCTAATTGGTTGCTTAGTGTCTTTGGTGTTTTAAAATAACAGTGGTAGAAAGCATCCTTCTCTTGTTCCTGACTTCATTGGTAATGATGCTAGAGTTTCACCAGTAAGCTTTGCAGGGGTAAGGTATTTGTTTCTGCCACTCAAGTATTGCTCTGTTCTTATTTTATTAAGAGTTTTAAATAAATGAGCATTGACTACTTCTGAGTGTCGTTTCTGTATCTCTGGAGAGGTCATCTTGCTGAGCAGGTAATGTTGGGACAGACTGATGAGCTGGTGGTGGCAGGCAGGTGAACGCCGGGAGGGTAGCACCCTCTGCAGATGGAGACAAGCAAGTGGCAAAGCACGAGCACTGCTGTGCTTCGGGTATCTCGACCCTGGCTTGGTGTCTTTGCTTTCGTGATGGGCAGAGAAGTTGCACATCTGGCCATGGGGAGAGTGTGGAGGGCGGGAACCTTGGCTGTGAAGAAGATGGGGAGCCATGGATGGTTTGAAGCAGAGGTTGGATAGACACAGCTGACTGCAGTAGGTCATGGGTTGATGAGAGCACAGGGGTCATGGGTACTAAGGGAGAAGAGGTAGCAGGCTGGGTGGCATTCGAGGCAAGTGATGTCCTAACTGGGATGAGGCGGCAACAGTGGACGTAGGGGAGAATACCATGGCGTTCTGCTCATTTAGGCGTTCTGCTCATTTAGGAAGTGCCATTAAGTTTCTGTTAGCTGATAGGATAGGGACGGCAGAGGGATAAAAGTTTAGGATTTCTCTGGCAGTTTTATTCCCTAAACTTGCTGTTACCAAGGTGAGGTGTCAATTGCTGTGACAAAACACTCGGACCAATACCAACTTGGGGAGGAAAGGGTTTATTTGGTTTACATCTCCTGGGTCACTATTCATTGCTGAGGGAGCCCAAGGTATGAATGAAGGAGCCCAACTCAGGGCAGGAATGGGTATGAGGGAGCCCGACTCAGGGCAGGAACCTGGAGGCAGGAGCTGAAGCACAGGCCATGGAGGAACACTGCTTACTGGCTGCTCCCCTGTCCTGTGCTCAGCCTGTTTTCTTATACAATACAGAACAATCTGCCCAGGGGTGGCACCGCCCACAGAAGGCTGGGCCCTCCCACATCACTCAAAAATCAAGAAGATGCCCCACAGACATGGCCATAGGCCAGTTTAATGGAGACAATTCTCCAATTGGGGCTCCCTCTACCCAGGTGTGTCAAGTTGGCAACTAAAGCATCCAGCACACTGCTTTGATGTGAAATGAAAGTATCTCTTACTGAAATCTGTTTATCTCATTCTCTGTTACCATATGCAATTTGGTTAATGAATGCTGATGTCCTGTCATATATGTAATTTTTCTGTTAACCCATGTAGAGTTTACATGTGATATCAGGAATGTAGCTTTCTTTTGTTTTTTAATTATGTATATGCGTATCTTTGTGGGGGTATATGCACATGACTGTGGGTGCCCAAGTAGGCCAGAAGCATCAGATCCCCTGGAGCTGCCTGATGTGGGTGCTCAAACTAAACTTGGGTCCTCTGGACTAGCACTACACACTTAACTGTTGAGCCTCTCCCCAGTCCCAGAATCTACTTTTTTGATGTCACAGGACTAGGTTCCCCAGGCCTTCCCTACTATTTCCTCTTGGGGCCTTTGCACTCTCCTCTGACAGAGATATTGGCCTTCTCCATTGCCACCCCTCTAACCCCTCCAGCCCCACCCCCTACCCCTCTGACCCCTCTGACCCCTCTGGCCCCTCCGACCCCCCCGACACTGTAGCTCCCAGCTCAGTGTCACGTCTTGCAGCCCTGCTCAGCTGCTTCTTTGAGGTTCTTTCCATTTCCTTTATAGAACTTAACAGAAATCTGGAATGACTTACGTATTTGAAAGTATGAAACTGTAAGCCTCTTAAAGGCTGGCGCCTTGGCGAGCTTGCTCACTGCTCCATGTGTACTCCCTAAAATATGTCTATCTCTAGTTCAGTGCGAATGGATGGATGAATGACCAAATGAGGGAATGAATGAATGAGAACCTACACTACCTGGCTGATTTTATGCCCCTTGATTCCGTGCAGTAGATCTTCCTCTAATTGACAGCCTAATTCGGGTGTTACAAAATATGGAACATTGCCAGAAGAAACCAGAGAACTCCACAGAGTCCAACACAGAAGACCCTAAGAAGTCTGATTTAACCCAAGACGACTTCCATTTGAAGATCTTGAAGGATATTTCATGTGAATTCCTTTCTAATATTTTTCAGGCATTAACAAAGGTAGGAAAGAAGAATTGGGGATTTCTTCAGCAAAAAAATGTGAATTGCTTGATGCCCTAATCTTTAAACTCCTGTGGCTTTTTAGGGGAGAGGTGAGTGTGCTGCTTAGAACCTGGAACATGATGGATGGGTTGAGCAAGCACATGCCACTGAACTGCAGCTCAGTCCTGCCTAGGTTTTATTTTATTTTTTTATTTAAAGCTTTTTTATTTCTTTTTATTTTATGTGAGTGTTTTGCTCATGTGTACGTAAGTGCACCATGTGTGTGCAATGCCTGAAGAGATTAGAAGAGGGAGTCAGATCCCCTGGAACTGGAGTGACAGATGGTTGTTAGCCACCAAGTGGGTACTGGGAACCAAACTTGGCCCTCTGCAAGAGCAGCCAATGCTCTTAACCATTGAGCCATCTCTCTAGCCTGTTATTTTTTATTTCGTGTGTGGGGGTTGAGTGCTCACGTTTAGAGTCAGAGGACAACTTACAAGAGTCAGTTCTTTTCTACCATGTGGTTGTTTTTATATATAAAAGTAATATGACTGTTCTCAATTTGGGAAAATAAAGAAAAATCTTACATTTATAATCTTAAAATAACAACAGATGTGGTTTAGTATATATATGCGGGTATATGTATGTGTGTGTCAGTAGACCATATTACTAAAATGCTATAGCTATGTGAAAATGTTGTGGTTTTTTTTGTTATTAACAAAATGGAACATTTTTGTATATATTTGTATATCATTTGTGTTTCTTCTTTAAAAATTTTTTTTATTTTGTATTTTTGTGCTACTTGGAATCAAACCCAGGGCCTCTCACATGCTGGCCTTACCACTGAGCTACCTCCCTAGCCTGATATTCCCATTCTGAGTCTTTGTATGAACGAATGGATAATAAATCTTTTTTATACTCATTTCAGACATTTTTCCAACTGTTTGCTGTTGCTTTTGGTTTTTTGCTGGGAAGGATGAACATATTTTGATTTTTAAGTTACAGGAAATAGAAGGAAAGCAGATTGAGAATAAACCCAGGATCATGAAACTTCTTACTTCACCTTAAGGGAATTTGGATTTAATCTTGAGGAAATTGAGGAGCTGCTGAACTTGGTGTTTGTTTGCTTGTTTGTTTTTTGTTTAGCAAGTGACATGACCAATTTAGAAAGCTTATTCCAAACACTCTAGGGAGAAAGGAATGGGTCAGGCAGCCCAGCTAATGGGTTCTTAAGGCTGGTAATCTTCAAGAATAATCTGGAAAATGAGAGCCTAATGGAAGGAAGACTGGGGTAAGAGGAAAGTTTAACTGAGTAGAACTGAACACTTCGGGGTGCGAGCTCCAGCTGGAGCATCTCAGCTGTGCCTGCGCTTTCTGTAAGGCTGTGATTGGGTTATGAGCCTCTTCATGGCGCTTCAGCAAGATCCCTTTGAAATGCCTGTGGGACCAGTCAGTGATTGTGTGTGCTCATATCTGCTCACCAGATGTGGCTCTAGAAATTTTCCTTTTCTGACATTAAATCTTCTGTTTGTTTTAGGAAACTGTGGCTCAGGGGCTGAAGGAGGGCCAGTTAAACAAACAGAAATGTTCCTGTGCATTTCAAAGCCTCCTTCCTCTCTATGGCCCTGTGGTGAGTAGGGTATTTACTCCTATTTGGGTAGGTGCTGGTTTCATAGAACTATGAAATAAAACATTCTCAAGCAATCTTGGAATCTTTGAAGCCGTTGTAGGAAAAGATCGTACACTTCACATGGCTTAATGCCCCGTGGAAGAGCTGGCTGGAGGCTAGTTCATCCTTCCTGGCTTGGGTGTATTTCTAATCTCAAGAGGAAGGAATCCACATGCACTTGATGCTGTTCCTTCTTGTTCTGAGATAGACAGCCTCCGTAGTAAGAAAAAGCTTGACTTCTTGGGACTCAGTTTTTATGGTTCAAAGTAAGGATGCTTTATGAGAGAATGTGGAATGAGGGCATCAGGGAGCTTGTTGGCAAAGAGGATGGTAATAACATCAGAAGCCCACCCTGACAGGACAGCATCAGGACAGTCTGTGATGGCTTAAGGGTAGAAGGACCTGGTGAGGGCTATCACTTCCATCATGTTTCAAGGAGCTACACAGGAAGGGCCTTGATTGTTGCCTGTGGATCCGAAGGCTTGCCTTTCCATTGGACCATTTGGAAACCACAGGAGAAGCATTTTTATAATTAACCATCAGTATCTTCACACAACCTTTTCTTCCACCTCAGTGATGCAATGCTTTGTTTGACACACAGGTAGAAGACTTTGTTAAAATCCTACACGACGTTGATAAGGCCCTTGCTGAGGACCTGGAAGAGAGCTTCCCAAGTTTGAAGGTTCAGACTTAACACCCAAGTTCAGATTTCTACTGTTCAAGAAATAAACTTTGTGTTTTTTATGGTTTGAAATTGACATGCTTTCAGAAAGTCTTGGATAAAAGTCCTCTTACATCGTAATCGCCTAGTGTCATCCCAGGCCTCCTCCTCCGTCCTGTTCGTTGGAACCTGAAGTGTCACCGCTGTCACCTCCCCCCTTTCAAACTGATTATTTGTCATTAATCTTTAGCTGAAGAAGAGAGCAAACGTGCGAGCTTCTCAAAATCGCAGCTTTCAAACACTCGAGTTTCTTTACACCTGTCATGTTTTCAGTGGTAATTTTGTGTCCAAGTATGTTTAGCTGTACGAACAGAATCCAATAACTTTTTATTATTTTATGCAATTAGAAGCAGAGACTGTCAGTTTAGACCTGAGAAGTGGCTCGGGAACCGTGTCCTCTTTCCCCTCTGTGTGGCCTGTGGTGTAGACGTTGCATTCCCGTCTGTTGCGGTAAAGGGGACTGTGCTCGGTCTTCTGTCTGTAGTCAGGGAAAAGAGGCGTTACAGGAGGTCTTGTCAGCCTCCCTTGACCTCTCTCCCTTGTATTTAAAATCTGGGCCCCTCCCTCCCTCCCTCTGGGAGAGGGAAGGCGTGACTGGCTTTAGGATAGTCACTCCAGAATCTGCTCTGACGTGGGGGCATGTTTTAGCCATTCTGCAGGTGCCGTTTATGTAGTCCTCTACAGATTGTTGGTAACCACATGAAGGTGTTCCTTTGCCTTTGCTCCATTTCAGTGCGTTTTGTGTCCACAGATGACGGTAGAAACGCTGACATTTGATTTAACCACATTAGCAAGATGGCCAGTTTTCAGCCTAATTTTAGTGGTTGAATTTCAGAAGATGATTTGCTTGAACACATTTAATGTAAGATTGAGGGAGAGTAGTGACCTCTGACCCTCCCAGGCTGTGCAGGTGACCCCCCCCCATGAAAATCCTCAGATAATAGCACCTTGTGAAGTAGCCAACTTCCTGACTGAACGTGGAACCTCTGGGGTTTCAAAGAGGCTCAGTTCCAGGTTACAAAGCCCGCTTTCCAAACCATCCCAGTTTATCTCAGACCCCTTTTGAATGTAAAGGATTGGTTTTACTTTGCGTTTTGTTTTTTTTTCCTTGAGGAATGTTTGCAGATGGAGCACAGGGGACACTGTTTTGGGTAAAAGAGTACAAGTTCCCTTGGGAGGCAGAGGCAGGCGGATCTCTGTGAGTTCAAGGCCAGCCTGGTCTACATAGTGAGTTCCAGGACAGCTGGGGCTACAGGGAGACCCTGTCTCCAAAAAAAAAAAAAAAAAAAAAAAATACAAGTTCCAGGTTAAAGGTGATTTTCATGGCTAAAAAGAATTGGGCTACTAAATTAAATTCTTACAGTTAAACTAATAAGTTTACTTTGTTTGCCCGACCTCAGAGCTAACTTTATTGGCACTGTAACCCCTTGTCTGTCGTTTGTTTTTAGATAGGCTTTCATGTAATCCAGGCTGGCCTAGAATTCCTTGTGCAGCCCAGGCTGGCCCAGAACTCATGCCTGGTGCTTCTATATTATTTTTTATTTTATGTGTATGAGTTTATTGCCTGCATACAAGTGTACCCATGTTGTGCAGTGCCTTCAGAGATCAGAAAGGGTGTTGGATCCCTGGAACTGGAGTTATGAATGGTTGTTAGCTGCCATTTGGGTGCTGGAAATGAACCTGGGTCCTCTGCAAGAGCAATCAGTGCTCTTAACTGCTGAGCCATCTCTCCAGCCCGTAGGTATGCTTTTCAGGGATAAGCAGTTTGTAGCCGCATATTCTCTGCACATTGGCCAGTTAAGGTTTTCTGTGTTTATTACCATCTGCTGCATAAGAAGTGTCTCTGGTGAAAGTTCAGAGATGCATTAATCTGTGAGTATAACAATAGGTCACTCTCATACTGTATCTATTTAGCAGAATCATAGTATCAGGCTCTCCCCTCTGTCCTGTGACCTGTCTAGCCTCAGGTTCCTAGGCCTGATATCAGTGTCAGGTATGGGCTCCATCCTATGAAGGAGAACTTAAATCCAATTAGAAAGGGGTTGGTCGCTCCTATAGTATTCAGCCCACTGTTGTACTGGCGGGCACATCTTGCTCACAGGAGTTACAGCTGGCAAGGTTGATGATTTTTTGTCTTCAGGTAGCACGTATAACACCTTCCAAGTGTTAAAAGTGTTTAAGTGCTGTATGATTTGAAGACGTGACACAAAATACAGCGCTTGAATCTGTTGCAGTGGACTTTCAAAGTGGTACTTTCTACATAAGTGAAGTTTGAAGCTGGAGAGTACATGGCAGGCGAACTTCCCTGTGCTTCTGCAGGGGAGGAAGGAAGAATTATGGGGGACACCTAAGTGAGATGTATATTTCTGAGATTTAATTAAATTTAATTTTTTGGATTTATTTTATGCATGTGAGTGTTTGCCTGCATGTATATAAGTGCACCCATGTCATGCAGTGCCAGTGGAGGTCAGAAGAAGGCATCGGATCCCCTGGAACTGGAGTTATGGACTGTTGTTAGCCACCGTGTAGGTGCTGGGAATGGAACCTAGGTCCTCTGCAAGAGCAGCCAATGCTCCTAACTATTGTGCCATCTGTCCAGCCCCTAAACTTCAATGTTTGAAGTACCTGATTATTTCAAAAGAATGTGTCCTGTCTTGTATAGAAAATACTTCCTCCCTTACAGCTGATGAGGTATTATTCGGCTCTGATGGACTTGGTGTTTTGTTTTGTTTTTCCCTTTCTCTGATCCAACTCCTAGGAGTTAAACAGGTTTTTTCACTGTATCATTAATCTCTCTGATTGCTTTGACTTTGAGTAACTTACTTGACAACGTTGACATGCAACGGGGGAAAGTGTAAAAGCTACCCTCGGCACATGTACTTTTGCTGATGGAGTGCATCAGAAATTAAGACATTAAGAAATAACCTTGGGGGCTGGAGAGATGGCTCAGAGGTTAAGAACACTGGTTGTTCTTGCAGAATACCTGGGTTCGAATCCCAGCACCCACATGGCAGCTAACAGCTGTCTGTAACTCCAGTTCCAGGGGATCCGACAGCCTCTTCTGTCCTCCGAGGGCATTGCATGACACAGGTGCACTTACCTGCAAGCAGGCAATACACACATACACATAAAATAAAAATGATAATTTTTGGGGGGGGCTCTTTTTGAGACAGGGTCTCCCTGTAGCCCCAGCTGTCCTGGAACTCACTATGTAGACCAGATTGGCCTTGAACTCACAGAGATCCTCCTGCCTCTGCCTCCCAAGTGCTGGGATTAAAGGCATGCACCACCATGCCCGGCTTATGAAATATTTTTTTTTAAATGAAAGAACCTTGTTTGGGGCTCAGCAGATCTTCAATAAACACCACTTTCTGTTCTTTAACATTGAGCTACATGTACGGTGGTGTAGAACTAATCTTAAATAAATTGAAGGGGGTAAGTCCTGGAGCTATGGGGCATGCTGCCTGTTTTAACCAGCTTTCTTTACAATCTTTTTAGCTTAGTTCTTTATATTAATTGAGGGCTAAGCTGCAGGAATTTTAAGAAAAGGAAAACAGGTAAACAGTTCTCTGAGTTAGTACATCCCATTGTTTTTCCTCTGGCTAGTGTGAGATTTAATCCAAGAACTACTGAAAACCAGGTATTTACTGAGTGGTACAACTCTTAGATTTGCTTCAGAGTCACCTAGATCAAGAGGAAGGAAGTGGGGCAAGGGAGGAGATGAACAGAATTGGCCCTGTGTTGGGATTGAATCAGAGTTGATGGAGGTGGGTGTGGACTACACGGGGTCTGATACACTGCTCCTTCTGTTTTTGTATGTTTGAAAAGGAAACACCATTTGTGATAAACCTCGGCTAACAGTCATGTGTGATTTATTTGCTTTTTAAAAACTTCTGTCTCAACAAAACTAAAAGTACTGTAATAGCATCAAACATTGACTTCAAGACAATGGAAACAGCACAGATACTGGTTAGCATCTCTGTAGAACGGGCAGTAGAACTGTCTTCATTATTCCAGCTGAACTCAGCGAGGCGCTTTCGCCATAAGGATTGTCAGTGTCTGCTGACTGGATGAGAGCTGGCGGGTGCTTTTAGTTGTAAGCAGGTGCTTTTGTAGCCGAATGTATTGGTGGTCTTCAATGGTTTCATGGTAGAGGAGTAGAGGAAGGAACAGAGTCAGAATTTGAGAGTGTAAGTTTTCTAAGAGTTTCCCATTTTTAATGCTTATTCAGTGGGCTAGTCAAACCTACAGTGAACATCGTCCTCAGGGCCAGGCCACACTTAAAGCAGGAACCCCAGGAAGTGGGTGAGACTGGAAGCAGGGGACACTTTGTGATGGGGACACCTTGAGATGGGGACACCTGTGATGGGAACACCTGTGATGGGGGACACCTGTGATGGGGACACCTTGAGATGGGGACACCTTGTGATGGGGACACCTGTGATGGGGGACACCTGTGATGGGGGACACCTTGTGATGGGGACACCTGTGATGGGGACACCTGTGATGGGGGACACCTTGTGATGGGAGACACCTGTGATGGGGGACACCTGTGATGGGGACACCTGTGATGGGGGACACCTTGTGATGGGGACACCTGTGATGGGGGACACCTGTGATGGGGACACCTGTGATGGGGACACCTTGTGATGATGCCCCCTTTTCTGTCTTGTCATCCTGTCTACCCTTGTATATCTGCACAGAATACAAAGTCTGCATTACCAAAAATTTGTCATGTACTGTCCTAGTTTGTTCTCCTTCGCTGTGACAAAACACTTTGACCACAACCAACTTGGGGAGGAAAGGGTTTATTTATCTTACATCTCCCAGGTCATAGTTCATCATGGAGCCCAAGGTAGGAACTCAAGGCAGGAATCTGGAGGCAGGAGCTGGAGCACAGGCCATGGAGGAACGCTGCTTATTGGCTTGCTCCCCTGGCCCCTGATCAGCCTGCTTTTTTTATACAACACAGGCCCACCTGCCCAGGGGTGGCACCACCCACAGTGGGCTGGGCCCTCTCACATCACTCATCAAGAAGATGCCCCTCAGACCTGGCCACCGGCGAGCTCAATAGAGGCAATTCCCGGATTGAGGCTCCCTCAACCCACGTGTGTCAAGTTGACACTAAAGCTATCCATCACATGCACCTTAGTTTACATAAAGTTAAATCTGCTAAATTCAGTTTTGGACAACCCACTTGTAACATAAGACCTAAATGCCCTCCATAGATTCCTAGTTCCCGTTTCTCAGCCCAAGGTCTGGGAACCCTTACTGAGCAGCATCAGAGTGACCGCTCTTGTTTCACCCTAAGTTTTTATACTTTTGGGTTCTGGCAAGGGGCACAGTTCTGGGAAAGGCCCATGCCACGCTGCAACCAGACCTGGGGGTAAGGGATCTGAGGTCACTGACCGGCTGTGGCTTGCCTACGCTGGACTAAGTGTGCACTCCAAATACAGTCAACTAAAAATTGAATTGAGTGTGCTATAAACTTTATGTAAGGGTGCAGAAGTGTGACAGAATCAAGACCTAAAATTCTTAGGCGTGGCCCCATTGGCTCAGACTTCACCATGTGCCAGCCACCCTACACACTTCTTTACATTATTCTACAATGATTTGAGAAGGTAATGGATACCGTTTTGCAGATGAGAAAATGAAAATTTGGAGTGTTCAGACACTTGCCTAAATTCACATAATAAGTTGCTGACTTGGGATTTGACTCTAAGCTTGCATTGCCCTAAAGCCTTGTTCTCTGTCACAGTTCCACACTTAGGTAATATAGGTAGGCGTGGATCAGATCACAGAGCGTTTTCTAATCGTGGAACAGACATCTGCGCTATCTGCTTGTCTGTGCCCCGTCTCTGAGACTCGTCCTGATCTACCTGCATTTTTCCGTGGTTGCAGTGTATAACTGAGGAGGGGAATGTTGTAAGAGCAAA